AACCTCTTGCAACGAACTCAGGTCCTGCTGCCTAGTGGTCTCCTAGCCTCTTACTAATGAAGTCCCACACCCTCCGCAGACAGTTTTCTCCTGTGGGTTCATTCCAGATGCTTGGGAGTAGGCACCAGCCACAGGACACGAGTGCATCCCCAGGGAGCCAAATGGTGGAAGTGTATGCCGTTCCCACTCCAGCCTCTCCTTAGCCTGCCATTCGGGGGGGGGGGGCGCCTCCAACCAGCTTCCTGTTTTCCAAATCTTCCAAATTCATCAGGCTCTAGGTTTTTTGTTTATGAATGCTTCCAGGCTCCGGGACACCCCAATCAGTTTGTTCTAAGAACTCTAACATCAAGCTTCTCTCAGACCCACAGCAGCACTAGAGCCTGAGCTTTCCCACTCAGTAAACATCTAGGTCCTTCTCCCCGGGGCCTCTAAATCCCTGTCACAGCAGAGGGGAGAGAACACCACCGCACTCCTGCTGTGTGGACAGCTCCCCGCTGACTCCTCTGTGCCTTTCCAAATCTCTGATTTCAGAGGTAGGTGGGTAATAGGGGTTAGTAGTCATCAGATAGACCCTACTGTCTTTTGGAAAGTCCTGTAGGGATTCCGGGCACCCTTCCTTGGGAGATGGAATATTTATCACCATCGTCTTCAGCTCTGAGACCGTGGCCCCAAATGCCAAGACACTAGGAAAATTCCCATTCTGTCTTCTAAAAGTTTTGATCCCAGCTGCGTAGCTACTATGAATGGCAATGTCCAGCTTCGTCAATGGTTCTGGGCATGACTGAAGCCGGCAGGCCTAGGAAGGTGGGGGTGGGGATCTCGTTACCACGTGGTTTTCTTTCCTAGACCTCCGTGTCCTCAACCGTCATCTCCAGAGAGGCATCTTCACAGAGTAAGACGTCTTTGGGGCCCTTACTTTTCCCAAGTGAGCAATTCTGAGAAGACAGAAGTAGTTCTCAAGGAGATCAGAGGTACCCAATCTGATAGGACCTTAAGTGCTGCCCAAGTGATGACATCTTTTTCAGCTTGGGAACGCAAGTTTATTTTCTGAGAGCCATTTGTCACCTTCTCCGACTTCAGAACTTTTGAAGCCCAGGTGTCCATGACCCTATGCCAAAAAAATAAATAAATAAAAGAGAGAGAGACAGAGAGACAGGACCCCTGTTCTCAAGGATATTTATTGCCTTTGAACAAAATGATACAAATATGGAACCCGGTGTGTAGTTGGGTGTTCGTTTAACATGGACATAAGTAGCCAAATTCTTGCTCTTCTCTTGGCTCTTGTTGCCAAGAATGAAAGGCTTGGGGCAGAATATTTACAGTTGTTTTTTTGTTTTTGTTTTTTTTTTCTATTGCCACGTTTGGTCATTAGTTGTTTTTGCTGGGATATTGGCGAGTTGCTAGAGGATTTGAATTCCTTGATGCTGCTTCACATTCACCTATTTCTGACTTTGGCAATAATTCCAGCACCAATCACCAGCTTTCTATATTTATCGGCAGCTGCTTCAGTGATGTGGAAACAATTTTCTCAACAGCTGAAAAACATGAAGATACAGAGTAGGACATTTTGTTCTTTATAAAAGAGCTTAGTTGGGATGAGCATGGGAGAAGGGAACAATCCAGCACGAATCATTTTGTCCCTGCATCTTTTCCACTTTGCCCATCAGGCCATGTGTGACATCAGGCTTAAGTGGAGAATTTACGGTTTTGCCCAGAGAGGAATGAATGGGTAGCCTCTGTGACATGTACCAGAATCCTTTGAACCAGATGATATGAACCAGTATTCTACTTTCTAGAAGGTGGTCTTTGATTTGCTTGATTTATGACTTAAGGTTTCGGATGAAGGAGGCTCATCCCCAGCCTCTGTTTCCAGCCCAGCTTTACCAGCTGCCTGGCTCTAGGCATTCGGCATTCGATGAATGCTTTTCTACAGACCATTATCAAAATCAGTTCCAGAACATCTGCCTTCCATGGGACACTGCAGGGCACAGACGATCTGAGAGGTATGGGACACCACCTGTGAGGTCAGAGGCTTCCAGACTGCAAGGTACTTGGACTAAATTGATTGAATAATAAATGGTACCAGGTCTCCGTAGCCCTCACATGGTGCCTGGTTCATCCAAAGCCCTCCATGCAGAATGATCAGAGATGTCGCTGTTGCTCTTGAATTGTGTCTCATCTGCTTTCAGAGCTCCGAGACATCTAGGCATTAATGCGTTTGCACAGAGAACAAGACTTAGAACCCAGAAACGTGGTTTCTAGTCCCAGCTCTGCTCCTACCAAGGAAAGGTGGAGCCACGTTGAGAAGCTAACATGAACCGAGGGTTCCAAGTGTCGTGCAAAGCACATCCCAGTGCAGGGTCTTTGTCCTCATTGCAACCTAGGAAGAGGGCCAGCATTTCACAGATGAAGAAGGGAGTGTTCAGAGACTGTCACTTTCCCAAGTTAACGTCGAGTTAAGGTCGATGCCAACTCCAAAGCCTAGACTCTTACCATTCCAGGCCTCCCATCTCCCAAGATCTCAGCGCTGCGCAAGAGGAGACCCCATATGGCTCCACCAACCCCCCCCCCCCCGAGCCCAACTGTCTTCAGTTTGTAGAATTGAAAGCCATCTCTAAAATTTATTTTCTGACTTAAAAAAAAAAATCTACCAACCAGCAGCTTCCTTGTTACTTTAAATCTTTACTGCCACCTAGTGGACGTATCTAATCAGAGGAATGAAAAATTCAGTTCAACTTGGATTAAAAACTGTCAATTCATCTTAAACTCATCCTGTGCTCCTAACCTTTAAAAATTGTATTTACGGACAAATATCATGGCCTTCCATTTTTATCCTTGCAGTAAACTACCAGGAGTTTCCGGGAAACCTATAAACAACTCCTGCTTTAAAAAATAATAATAATAATGCTTTGTGATCATATAATACACACTCAGCTAATAAAGGGCTATACTTACAGAAATTCTAATCTGCAATATTTAGAACTTGTATAGCAATTATGTTTTTAACTTTATAAATATTTGCTTAACTTTTTTTTTCTTTTTTACATTCTCAGGGTAACAAAGAAATAATAATTCAAACAACACAGAGGATGTGAAGTAAAAAAGTCCTTCTCCACAGAAGGAACTATCTTGGGAATTTCTTTTTTTTTTTTTTTCCAAGAAATGTTTTATTTCATATACAGGCATGTGTACAAACACGTACAGTTTGCTAATTTTTTATAAAGGAACTTCTGTTACGCATACTGTTCCACAGGTTGCCTTTTTCAACATCATCTGTTTTGGACATGTTTCCATGTCAGACACAAATCAACCTCATTCTTTTCAATAGGATATAGATTCCATTACGGACTGTACTATAATTAATTTCACCAGTTCGTCATTAACGTCCATATAGGGTATTTTCACCTTTGTTGTTATAAAAGTGCCGCAGGGAATACGTTTATTCTCTTCAGGGAAAACATGCACGCCAGACACACACGCACGCACGCTCATTTGCAAGCGTATTTGTAGACTGAAGTATTAGACGTGAACTTGCCGGATCCAAAGGCGTGTTAATACCCACTGGCCAGGATCACCAGAAACACGCCTGTAGTCACAAAGATAAAGGAGGAGAGGAGAGGAGGACGAGGACGAGGACCAGGAGGAGGAGAAGCCCAGTTAACTGAAACTGCTCCAAGGGAGAACACAGGGGAATGGCGAGCCATCCCCGGAGGACTGTCATAGGGTGTGAGCTCTTGCTGAGTGGTAGCAGGGAGGAGTCAGGGCCGCGGGAGCAGTTCTGGGCCATGTACCGGCAAGATGCCGAGGCAGGTCAGTGGGCATCTCTGTAAGTTTTTCTGGGAGGAGGGAGAGTTAAAGTAGGGTCAGGAGTGTCACCAGCAAAGGAGCAGCAGTCACATGTGTGGTCGGAAGAGGGGGGTGTTTCATCGTTTTGTGTGCCCGAGTGGCCTTGTCTGGGCATCGCTTCATTCCATGGGTGTTTCCTACAGTCAGCTGGGGACATGCTGGCCAGTCTCCCAGCAATGCGCCGTTTCATTTGCTTAGATACATTGACTTCAAATGTCTGTGGACGTTTATGTTGCTTTTCAAAAAGGTTGCATTAGTTGACATTCTCCTGGGTTCTTTTCAATGCTCAACTTCTCTAACAATGAAGTATTTAATAATCAGAATAATGGCAATTACAACACTGGGAAACGTTTATAGGGCCGCTTCCCATGTGCCAGCCGCTGCGTTAACTCCGTTATTTCATCGAATCCTCATTGGAGGCTTGAGACACGTGTTAGTGGCATCCCAGCTTCCATCCGAGGAAACCAAGGCTTAGAGAGGGGGAGAACCGGCCCGGTCACGTGGCTGGCCAGCAAGTTGCTGAGCTGGGTTCAGAACCAGACCTTGCTCCTTCCAGAGCCCACGCCCTTTCCCACAAAGAAACACTTTCTCCTTCCTCTGCTTCACAGGAGCCTGCCATGGAGAATTTAAAGCTAGGGCATTAAGAGCTGTTAAACTGATGATCGCAAATCTTCCAAAGTCTGGTTTAGGATGATAAGGAAGTCGAGAGGCCCATTTACAAGAATGAGATTCATGGGCTCCTTTCCAGGAATCACATATATATTGTGAAGTGAGGCATCCTGCCTGAGATCTTTAGCTTCTCACATGTGCCCTCAATTAATAAAGGCCTCTGAGAGCTTCCTGAAAAATCACAGCCAAGACAACGTAATTAAATATCCTCTGGGCCAGCTGGAGCTCAGAGGGTATTTAAATAATCCCCAAGGAAATAAACGGATGAAGGACACCCCTCCCCGTGGATCCACTGAGGTTCGTGAAGGTTCCATGCTATGTGAGGATGGCAAGGACTTGGTGCAGGAAAGAGGGGAAGGACGTGGTGCCTCGGTAAATATCTGTTGAGTGTGGGACGGGCGCGGGCCGGGCTTCAGGGCTGGCCTGCGTGCGTGGACTTAGCAGAACAAACGTGGGAGTCACTGCTGGCTTCTGCTCTTTTGCAGATTGTGCTGGCTGTGGAAGGGACATCAAGAACGGGCAGGCGCTGCTGGCCCTGGAGAAGCAGTGGCACTTGGGGTGCTTTAAGTGCAAGTCCTGTGGGAAGGTTCTCACCGGGGAGTACATCAGCAAGTAAGATCGGGGCACAGGCCGCGGGATCCTTCCAGTGGGGCCTGCTCTGGGGAGGGGAACCCCCACCCCACCCCACTGGACATAAAGGCATTCACACCCCATAATCAATATGAACTTTCACTGTGCTACGTTTTTGTTTTATAAAAGGAATTTTATTCTTCCGCTGTCCCTATAGTTTGCCTACAATGAATTTAATGAGATGTCAGTCACTGCCTAATTTAACGAACAAGACTGACATAATGTTACACTGTATGTTATAATCAGTTCTTTAGTAATTTTACTTTCCCTAACCTTTTTTCTTTTCCTATTTGGAACTAGTAGACCTTGCTCCTCCTCTAGGTCTTGAATGTGTTTGACACCTACCCCCACCCCGCCCTGCCCTAAAAAAACACACACACAGGGTCTAAGCACTGAGCCCATTGGGACCGATGCATAATCCAACCCACCAGAGAACGGGTTGGTGTTAGAGTCAGGTGCTGGTGTAACAGCTAAAGTGAAGTTTTATTTTGTTTTGTTTTTATAACGTAGCTTGGAGAAACTAGCTACAGCGGTTACCTTTCTTTTTTAAGGTTGTAAAATTTATTTTGAGAGAGACAGCGGGGGAGGGGCAGAGGGAGAGAAGGAATCCCAAGCAGGCTCCACACCGTCAGCGTGGAGCTCGACACGGGGCTCGATCCCACAAACCACGAGATCGCGACCTGAGCCGAAACCAAGAGTGGGACGCTCAACTGACAGGAGCCACCCAGGTGCCCCTACAGTGGCTCCCTTTTGATTGAAGGAGGGAAGAATGAGTTGGGGGGGGGGGGGTGGCGTCCAAAGGCAATGAGGGAAAATTTATTTTCGTCACTAAACCTTTCTATGCTTAAAAAATATTCTCCAACCAGGTAAATATATATCCGCTCTTCAAAAAAAAAAAAATGTAAGAATACAGTGAAACAAAAAACAAACAAAGATGTAGCGGGGGCCCCACCGCCTAGAAATCTAATTCTGTAGTCCTGGGTGAAGCTGAAACGCCTGTATCAGAAGGAAAAAGCTTCACAGGTGACTCTGACACACAGCCAGGGTAAGAAGAAAGAGAAAGATGCCCAGCTATTAAGCGAACGCAGAAGGCTGTGCGGGGGTAGGCCATTGGGATGTCTACCGTGGTGCTTCTGAACTTTTGCACTCAAGGGCACGCATAGAAAACAGTATTTTTTCTGTGCTCAGAGGTAAATAAATAAGGAGGGTTGGAGAGGCTGAGTGAGAAGGCCCTGTGCCCCTGGGGCCTCCTGAGGGCTGAGGACTTGGCCTCCCAGGCTCTGGCCTGTGAGCTCCAGGAGGTGGTGGGGGGAGGGTGCACGCTGACACCACGTCTGAAGCCCATCTGGCCTGGTGGTGAAAGAGAATGGCGCCCGTGTTTTTGCTCGTCGGGTCGGAGACAACAGGGAAGCAGCCGTGGTAATCATGTGACGATTTGGCTGTTCTTTCTGTGGAGCCCGGAGAACCACAGCCGTCCCTCCACGTCGTGTGGCTTCGTGCACTTTGATCGCGCCTGCCCAGATCTCCCGGCCTGTGAATGCTGGGTGGGAGAGCATCACGCCCTACCACCTTCTGTGGAAAAGGGCCCCCGGGAAGTGTGGGTCTGGCGTCTTCCAGGCCCCTCGGCCCTCTCAGGACCTGAAAACTCTTGTGTTGCAGGGACGGCGCGCCCTACTGTGAAAAGGACTACCAGGGGCTCTTTGGGGTGAAATGTGAAGCCTGTCACCAGTTTATCACAGGGAAAGTCCTGGAGGTAAGTGACAACACGGGATGCCTTCGAAGCTACCATCGTCTTCCTCAGAGGTCGGCAGAACCACAAAAGAGGCTCTTCCACCGTTTTGTTTTGTTTTTTTTTCTTTCATCTTTACCCGCGGAGGAAAGAAAGTACTGGGAGCTGACTGATCTCTTCGCGATTTAACGTGTATTGTCTTTACAGGCGGTTGCTGCTAACTGTTCATGTGGAAATTGGAGTGAGGGACAATTGATCAAAAGAGATAAGGGGACTGTTAGGAACTATGTAGAAGGAAGAGGTATATTAGACTGTTTTTGGAAGTCAGAAAATGGGAAACAGAGCGCGTTCGAGCCGCCTGTGTGGGAGCACACGTGTGTGGGCTTGTGGGGGGGGTGCACGTGTGCACGTGAGAGTGCACGGACTCGGGGGGCAAGGGCTCAGAATCGAAGTGAGGAAAAGAAAGGGCGGGTGGAAAGTGAAGGCCTACACCTCCCCACCCTTAAGAAAACCACATCCTGTGTGACCCAGAACCCCCTGCGGCTCGGGCCGAACCAGAGCCTGGCGGGTTCAGGTGTGACTGCCTCGTGCCACAGAGCCTGCTTCCTGCTTTCTCCGCAGCGGCCCCACCAGCTGCCGCCTCTGGGCTGAGCGGAGCCCGTGCTGTGGAATTAGGGGCCGGAGTTCAGAGGCAGAGGGAGCCACTGCCCCCCCCCCCCACCACCCCGGCTTCTTACAGGCCTGTGGGGTGTTAACCCGCTCTGATACGAAAGAAAAGATTGCCTCATACCCATCACACATTTCAGGGTGGAGAATGTGTCCTGGGCAGAGGTAAGTCAGGACTCCTAGCAGCTTGGGAAGGCCACCAACTGGTCCTGCAGCTTTGACAGACACAGGCCACCGAGTCCACATGACCACATTCAAACCCCCCAGCGGGGCGTTTCCGAGACCTAAATCTGAGAGGCCCCCAAGTGTCTCTGGGCAGCCTCCGTGGGATTGCACAGCAAGGTCTAGCTTAGTTTTCCTAATCCCACAGCAAGCTCTGGGGTGCCTTTCTTTCCAGGAAACACGGAGGGGCCGGCGTTGGCTCTGCACCAGGGCCCAGGGTAGCTAATTGGATTCGGGTGATAAGGAAGTGACTGTTACGTGCACTTGCCTCTTACCCAGGGGAAGGGTGTTCCAGGAAGAGGGAACAGCCTCCCTAGAGGCCCAGAGGCGAGGACAGGCACAGCAGAGCGTGAAACAAAAAGCCAGATGGGCAGGAGCGCAGGTGTGAGAGAAGATGCTAGAGGAGTGGGGAGGGGTCAGAGCAAGAGGACCTCCAGAGTGCTATTCAGGAATTTGGGCCTTATCCTAAGAATGCTGCGAAGCCATTGAAGCCCTGATGGCTGGAGCTGAAAGCGACTGGATTACATTGCTGTATAAAGAATGCGCGGGAGTCCTCAGATGCACGTAAAACCACTCCCATAGCAGCTCTGTTCACAACAGCCAGAGGGTGGAAACGACCCAGTGTCCACGCACGGATGAACGGACCAACAACACGTAGTATATACAGACAAGGAATAATACTCAGCCTTAAAACGGAAGGGGTTATGATACCTGCTACAGCATGGATGAACCTTGGAAACGTCATGCTAAGTGAGGGAAGCCAGACACAAAAGGCTACCCGTGGTTTGCTTGCATGTACGTGAAATACCCAGAACAGGTAAATCCATAGAGACAGAAAGCAGATTAATGGTTGCCTGGGGTTGGGGGAGGGGGGAATAAGAGTAGCTTGTTGGTACCCAACTGGAGGTATGAAGTGTTCTGGAACAAGTCAGAGGCGGCAAATGCACAGCATCGTACCTGTCCTAAATGCCACAGTCAGGGAGGCCAGTTTGGAGACGACTGTAGGACTCAGGGCGCAAAGCAATGGGAGCACTGGCGGCAGGGAGACCTGAGAGGAGGGCCCACTCTCCCACGTAGTTGGGGGCTCAAGAGGAGTTTCCGTGGCCTTTCCAACAATAATTTTCATTGTCAGCCCAAGTGTGGTCGGTGCTGAGTTTTTGGCCCTCCGTGAAGTACGTCGCAGGAAAGCTATTGGGGAAGCTGGTCGTGGCTTATCCAAAGTGCAGCATGAAGTCCAGGTGGTCAGATCACAAGAGTCAAAGTGCAGCGGGCTTGTGCTCCCCACCTGTCCCCTGAACATGTCCCTTGTCCCTCCCCGGAGCCCAGGGGGAGAGGCCCACGGCATTTCCATAGGGGTTCCCAAGTGTGATCTGTGCAGGGCTGAAATAAACCTGTTGAGTTGGGAGCAATTGGGAAATTGCATTTCGAAAGAGTAATAATAAAACATCAGAACCATCTCGCGGATGTTCAGCTGTAGGAAGAGCGGTGGGAGGATCCCGAGCATAGCCCCCAGATTTGAGCCACGTTTACGGAAGGCGCGGATCGAAACCGCTGTCTCAGTCCACATATGCAACTGTGTTCCCCAAAAAGAGTTGAACAGGCAGAAGGCAGGGCGGGGGCGCTGTCGATGACCTCCGGTTTAGTTCAACAGCTGTGAGAAGGGATATGTAAAATAAACTCGATCCAGGAACATGCCATTTTGAAGAAACATCTGCCTAGTCAAGCTCCTCCCCGGAGCGGGTGTTGGCTGTGGCTGCTGGAGCCTCTAGCCAGATTGGCCTCGGGTTTCGGCGAGAGCCTTCTGGAAGGTGCAAGTCGTGGAGGCTTTCCACACGGTGCCTTCAGATTTGGGACTTCTGGGAGTCATTTGCACTGGCTTCATAGCAGAATCAAGACCCACCCAGTGGGCGTACTGACCTCTGATGGGTGTGATCTAGAAAAATGTAATGCATGTGTAGCACCCTGACATGGGACCGCCTCTGAGTCAGCTTGGCTTGGTTACCAATATAAAACCGGACGGGTCTCAACACTCCGCCCTCCTCCTGTGCCTTTGTTCTCAGACCCCATTGTTGCAACATGGTGACTGTGAATTTGTAAATGCTGTGATCCTTGCCTTTTGGGATTCTTTCCCCTCAGTTTTAAAAATGCGGTAAAACGCACGTAGCATGAAATTTACCATCTTAATCCTTTTTAAGTGTACGTTTCAGTGGTATGAAATGTATCCATAATTTTGTGCAACCATGACGGCCACTCACCTCCATGATGCTTTGCATCTTGTAACCTTGAAACCCTATACGTAACACTAAATCTCAACTCCCCTCTCCCCCTCGTGCCCTGACCACCACCATCCTATTTTCTGTCTCTATGAATTTGACTACTTTAGGCATGTCGTGCAGGTGGAATCATACGGTATTTGGGGTTTTGTGTGTGTGACTGGCTTATGTTATTTTGCACACTGTCCTCAAGATCCATCCATGTTGTAGCATGTGCCAGCATTTCCTTCCTTTCTGAGTGATATTCTGTTATATGGATATACTACGCTTCGCTTGTCCATCCGTGATCCTTATTTTTGTTGTTAATGTTTTTTTTTTTTCTGATTGATTTTATTCATAAAGATTGTAAATGTATTCGTTTCCTACATCTCCAACAGCGAGGGCTTAAAAACGCAGAAACTTATTCTCTCACAGTGTGCTAGAGGCTAGAAGTCCAAAATTGAGGTGCGGCAGGGCCATGCTCCCTCCAGGCTCTCGCGGGGAGCTCTTCCTTGCCCCTTTCAGCTTGTGGTGGCCTGTGGCATTGTGACCCTGATCCCTGCCTTTATCTTCACATGACCTTCCCTCTGTGTCTTCTCTCTGTATCGCCCCTCCCTCTGCTTTGCTGTTAGAAGGACACTTGTCATTGGATTTAGGGCTCACCCAGATAATCCAGGATGATCTTGTCTCAAGATCCTTAGCTTAATTATTATATCGGCAAACAAAGACCCTTTCCCCAAACGTTCACAGGCTCCAGAGATTTTTTGGGCCACTCTTCGAACCCACTCCAGTAAAGCTGGGAACTTATACAAGTGTCCTCCAGGAGCTGTCACGAAGTATCAGGTGCTATACAGCCTCTTGTCTGGGTGGTTTCGCCTGAGATGTCGCCAGACACCCGAGGAAGTTTTGAGAAGGAGCGAGGTCACTGGGGAATGATCGAGAAGGTCCGGGCTCAGCTATGTCACTAATTTCTAATGCAATAGCCATAAACCCCACCGATCACATTGGCTTGACAGGCTGGGTAGAGAGCCTTCGTGTGTTTTAGTGCAAAGGGCTCCACGTGACAGGGAATTAGGGATCTACCCTTGGCTCTGGAACTCCCAGCTGTGGGACCTCAGGCCAATCTCTCAACTTCTTTGAGCCTCAGTTTTCCAAGACAAGCATTAAAAATGTGTACGTAAATCCAAGCCTGGACTGCTTGACTCCAAGTTTCTCTGGCTCTTAGGACCCAAGTTCCGTAATTCTCGTGTCTTCGGTCTAAGGAGTCAGAGTTAGCAGTTCTTTCTCCTGGAGAGATTTTCCTGGAAGCCGGCATGCAGCATGCACTCAAAGTGTAGCTTTATTTATCATCAGCTGGCTTTCAATTTTGTTTTCAGCAACGAGAGTCTCTCTTTTGAGAGGTCTTGCTGTAAATGGCCCATCTTTAAAAGCTTATGCTAATTAACCTATAAATTCAGGAGCATTCTGAAGATGTTTGCCACCTGCCTCCTAATTAAGTCCGGAATCAAATTAGTGTGAAATACTCGAGTCTGCCAATAGCCTGCTAGCTCCATCTGTACCTCTAACCTCTCCTCTGAAGCAACCTTCCTCCTCCTTTTACTTCCCACCCCTGACCACGCCTCTCCCCTGCTCGTGCTTTAGCAGACTAATGGTACAGGAAGCCACACAAGACCTTGGATGTAGGTTACAGATGTCAGTAGACATCGGGCTTCCCTTTGGTGTAAATTTCCTTCCATCGTTGCCGAATGGCCCTCAGAGATCTTTGACTCTAGCAAAATCCCTTTCCTGGGTATGGGAACGTTTTTGCCTGCCATCTTCATAAAGAAAGAAAACAGCAAAATAGTTCCAAAATGAAGGCAGCCCTGGGAAAAAAGAAAAAGAAAG